TTTAGACTTTACATTGTAATTAACATTAAGGAAACAACCACTTGTCAAGTTGTGATGTAGTATTGGGGAACAGCCACAATTACCTGAAAATGCTATTATAGTAGTCTTCCCTTTTCCAACTACTTATCTGTGTGAGGCTGGATATTCTTTTTTTTATATTTATTTTTTAGACCCAGGGTCTTGCTCTGTTGCCCAAGCTGGAGTGCAGTGGTGCAATTATGGCTCAGTGGACATTCAAGCTCCTGGGCTCAAGCCATCGTCCCATCTCAACCTCCCAAGTAACTGGACTACAGGCACGTGCCACGATGCTGTTTTTGTTTTTCTTTGTTTTGTTTTGTTTTTTAATTTTTACATCGACAGAGTTTCACTATGTTGATCAGGCTGATCTCGAACTCCTAGATTCAGGTTGGCCTCCCAAAGTGCTAGAATTACAGGCATGAGCCACCATGCTACATTCTGTTACGCACATATTAAAGACACTTGCAAAAATGTGGAAAATGACACTCTTCCCACTAATTTGTTTTTAATTTGTAAACTATAGTCATTTTCAATGAAAAATGTCTTTATGTTAACATGTAATGGGATAATTCTTGTTATTTTTAGATAAATTAATAATTTAAGAATTTTGTTTTAGTTTTTAATATGATAAATATCAATAGATATAACCTATACAAACAAAATATCCTTTGGGTATTTTGTAATTTAAGATTTTTCAAAGTTCCAAGACAAAAAAAAATAAGGATCAGTCATTTATAGCAGATATCACCAGCTTACATTCTATTCTATATTTTTAGTTATTGTTTATTGTCTGTCTCCATCTATCAGATTATTAGCCATGAGAAGAGGGCTATATCTGTCTTGTTTGTTAATATCTTCTGTGCCTAAAAGAATGACTGGCATATACTAGGTGCTTCATAAAAATATTTGTTGACATGAATGAATCTTAATTTTAAGGATTAAGAAATGGCATCTGAAAGAGGTTTTCAGTTATGTACCTAAGGTCACATCACTAGTAAGTGACTGAGGAAGCATTCAAATACAGCTTTGTCTAATTTCAAAGCTCATGCACTTAATTAAATTATTCAATGGAATTGCCTCTGCAGTGAGGATTTGGAGGTGGTCTTATCACAGCGATATTTAGCCTTAATGTCAAAAGACTTGTAGTCTTTACAAACTTCTATAGTATTTTGTCTTAGACATGAAATTATTATAAAACTACAAAGAACTTTAGAGGGTATTTATTTCAACTTCTCACAGAGTTGGGTCATACAGTTACTTATTTATACAACTAGGGGACTGAGCCCCAGAGCTTCCATCCATACTCATTAGGGCAATATGTTGTGGAAACAAAGTCATGAGAATCACATGAAGTTACTTTCATTTCTTCTGCCTCATCCCAGATTTCTTTTCTAAAATCCCAGATGATAAGGAAAGGCATGGAAGAAATGGAGCCTGGCATGGTAAATTGAGGGCTCTGACTTTCTGACCCTAGCAAATCTATTTTTCCATCGCTGACAATTAGGCCACACATCCTTTAGAGGTGTGCCTTGATCAATGACACCCAGCTACACAAAGCAGGCCCTGCCCTCTGAGCGACCACTTCATCTAAAATGGATGCAAATTCTAGCTTTTCCTGTACTAGGCCGAGGTGCAGTGTATAGGTCTTTAGAGACCAAGGTCCTTTGGTAAGGCCCTTGCCAAGTCTCTTTTGTAATTGAATTGCTTTTCCTTTACATTTGATACTTAAACCAACAAATAAAAATGTTTTATTTCCAAATCAGTTCAAATGTTGCAAGGCAGCAACCAGAGCAAATGTGACTCAAATCATCACTAAAGAATATGTTCATGGGAATGTGCACATGAAACATAGCTGAGTAGTTGTAGAATATAATAAAAAGGGGCACTGTGCCTCCTATACTTTGCTGTCACTGTGCTCAAGGCAATACCTATTTCACACCAATTCCAATGCCCAGGGAAACACCTGTGATCAGTGCTGGCTTTAAGCACTGAGTGGCTACTTAGGGTGGTAAGCTCCCCAGCTTCTAGCATAGAGCAGATGATCAATAAATAATCATTGAATGACTAATTTTCCACAATGCCAGTACATATTTCAAGCATTCACCATGAGTACGGCCCCTCTAATCTGGAAACAATATGCTTGTGCTGAAGATCCAGCAAATCCTGCAGTCTGTAGCACAGAAGGTTAAATTCATAAATCCTGGAGGTTTATGTACTTCTGTTTGTAAAGATGATAATATTTTACCTTTAGAGAGATGTTACATCCAGATCACTGCCGTCAGATGAAAATATTGACTTAGCCTACAGCCCTACTACAAAATATAAAATCGTAACATCTAGAGAAAACAAACACATTGTCATTTGGAGGGAGGGGTGTGGTTAGGAAAGCAATAAATAAGCCAGATAATTAACTCAAATTGACTTAATAGAAGGTTTAAAATATCTTAATTGCTACTGTCTGAATGTGTTTCCCCGAAATTCATGTGTTCAAACCTAATCACCAATGTGATAGTATTAGGAGGTAGGACCTTGGGAGGTGATTAGGTCATGAGGGGAAAAACCCTCATGATGGGATTAGTGCCCTTATAAAAGAAGCCTCAGATGAAAGTTGGGGTGAAATCGTAGCATATAGCAGATGCTACAAGATCGTACCACTGCACTCCAGAGCAACACTGTCTTAAAAAAAAAGAGGTATCTGAAAGCTGTCTTGCACCTTCCACCATGTGAAGGACACAGCAAACAGTTGCCATCTATGAGCCAGAAAAGGGGCCCTCACCAGACACTGCATCTGCTGGTGCTTTGATCCTGGACTTGCCAGCCTCCAAAACCGTGAGAAATGGATGTTTGTTTATAAGCCATCCCATTTATGGTATTTTCTTATAACAGCCTAAATGGACTAAGCACAAGTTATTGCATTTTGTAGTTATTTTTCCCCACCCTTGGTATTACTCTTTTATTTCTGTATTTCAATATATGTATTATCCAGACATTAGCACAAACTAAGTGCTTAATAATTTTTGTTGAATTAACTTAATACACTGGTTCTCCCATTATGGTTTGAGGATCCCTGGAGGCAATGGTGTGCTGGAGCAGCTTCTATCATCTCTTAAGGACCCACTGTCAAATTTTATTTTTCATTATTATTTAGTTTAGTTTACTTTAGTTTAGTTTTTTGAGACGGAGTCTTGCTCTGTCACCCAAGCTGGAGTGCAGTGGTGCGATCTAGGCTCACTGCAAGTTCCACCTCCCTGGTTCACACCATTCTCCTGCCTCAGCCTCCCAAGTAGCTAGGACTACAGATGCCCTCCACCATGCCTCGCTAATTTTTTTTTTTTTGTATTTTTAGTAGAGACAGGGTTTCACCATGTTAGCGAGGTAGGTCTTGATCTCCTGACCTCATGATCTGACCGCCTCGACCTCCCAAAGTGTATATTTTATTTTAAGTTCCAAGATATATGTGCAGGATGTGCATGTCTGTTACATAGGTAAACATGTGCCATGCTGGTTTGCTGCACCTATCAACCCATCACCTCGATATTAAGCCCCACATGCATTAGCTATTTATCGTGATGCTCTCCCTCCCCCAAACCCCAATAGACACCAATGTGTGTTGTTCCCCTTCCTGTGTCCATGTGTTCTCATTGTTCAGCTCCCACTTATGAGTGAGAACATGTGGTGTTTGGTTTTCTGTTCCTGTGTTAGTTTGCTGAGGATAATGGCTTCCAGCTCAATCCATGTCCCAGCAAAGGACATGATTCTGTTGCTACTTATGGCTGCATAGTATTCCATCATACACATGTACCACATCTTCTTTATCCAGCCTATCACTGATGGACATTTAGGTTGATTCCATGTCTTTGCTATTGTGAATAGTGCTACAATGAACATATACATGCATGTATCTTTATAATAGAATAATTTATATTCTAATATCCTGAATCTACAAGGAACTTTAACAAATTTACAAGAAAAAAAAATACCCTATCAAAAAGTGGGCAAAGGACATGAACAGACACTTCTCAAAAGAAGACATTTATATGGCCAACAAACATGAAAAAATACTCAACCTCACTGATTAATAAGGAAATGCAAATCAAAACCACAATAAGATACCATCTCACATAAGTCAAAATGGCGATTATTTAACAATCAAGAAACAACAGATGCTGACGAGGCTGTGAAGAAAGAGGAACACTTTTACACTATTGGTGGGAATGCAAATTAGTTCAACCATCGTGGAAGACAGTGTGGCAATTCCTGAAGGATCTAGAACCAGAAATATCATTTGACTCAGCAGTCCCCACTGTCAAATTTTAAAGAATTTTGTGAGTCAGTCCTTAAACATAATCATTATTAAAAAGTATATTATAAAAACATTCAATTAAATTATATTAACATAAAGATAATAAATATTCACAACCCATCATTTCCTAATCATTTTACTACAATCTTGTTAGGCTCTTGCAGTTATTTCTAGCTATTGTATTTGTATGGTAGAAACACTATATAATAATGTGCTACTGCCTGTCTTTTCCCAACTTTGCATTATCAGCCATGTTGGGAGTATTTACACCAGAGAAACTGGCAGTGCTACAAAGTGGCCTTTCTCTGCTTCGATAATGAACTGGTTTTTAAAACACTGTCCACAAGTGGAGCAGCACACCACTTACTGAGAGTTCTCAAGAACCTTTCCGGTACTAGGTCCTCTCTTTTTGTATGAGTGGCTAGATTTCTTCATGTATGTTAATCAAAGTAACACTCTAAAACAGATTGAATGCAGAAGCAGAGATGAGACTCCGACTATAAGTTCCCCATTAGTTTTCAAAAAATGGAAATCTATATATCTCTTCTCATTAATTTTCCTCATAAAAATGAGTTATTTGGGTTATCATATAATGTTTTACTGCTATTTTAAAATGAATTAGTATTTTTATTTCTAATTTTGCATTTTAGTATGATAAATAGTGATAGATACAACTCACAAAAATGAAAGTCCTTGGGGTCCTCAATAATTTACAGTGTGAAGGAGACTGAGATCAAAAGTTTTCATTTTTCAACGCAGTTAATTCCACACCTCGCTTTTTTTGACTTGGCGTAGTTAAACCAGAAAAGCACGTCTGTATTCTTACGACTTTGTGACCTTGGTAAGTTAATTCTTTACCTCTTCAAATCTTCATTTCTCCAACTGTGAAAAGGCAATGTTGGAAAAGATTTTGTCTCAATGAATCATTTTTTTTTTTTTTTGCTTTTAGCTTCTGTAACTACGAGAATTATAAACGAGCTTTGCTCCTAGCTTGAGGGCAGTACAATTATTTCTGCTTTGTCATCCTTTTTGTACCTCCAAATCCCATCATCACTGTCTTTAACAATCTGTTCTGCCTAAACTCCTCCCCCCACCAAAGATTTTTCATTGCATTACATCACTGTGCAGTAATTACAGAAGTTACTATTTCCAGTTGTCAAAAAAAAAAAAAAAACCGTTCTGCACTAAACTGCATGCATGCAGCACATACAAAACACAGTGCAGACCAAGAAAATGCCAGTTTAGTGTCACCCCATCCATCAGGTGGAAAAATGAAATGCCTAAAGCAGGCACTGCGACCGAATTTAATAAAGCATACTATTACTCAGGCCCTGCCTTGCATCTCCTCACTGAAGCGGAGTGAAATAGAAAGACATGTGCTGCCTATGCAGTTTCTCTTTTCTGTGAAAACACCACGGATTGGTATCTGCTTGGCGTCCTTAACGAATGTGTGAATATGTGTCTTAATTCCAGGTTAGTGCGCGTCTGGTTTGCCTCCGAAATGACTGCGGCAGAATACAAACAATGTATAAAATAAAAAGCCTTTGCCAAGTGCGCCAAGACTACAGCCTTCACTTACGAATCACATCTGCGTCTCCTTTCCCTTTACGCACCCGCAGTAGGATCAACACGTGAAATCGCACCCCAGTCTGCCGGGAATTTGATTTCCACTTCCCCTCCCAACATCAAACCACCACGAAAACCAACCCTTTCGGGCGCGAAGCTGCACGTAAGGTGGGGAAGGCCAAGAGACTGCGCGGCGAGCGCGCACTGTGGGGCGCGCCCGCCTCCCGCCGCAGACCCCGGAGTGCACTGCGCTCCACGGAGGCCTGTGCTGGGAAGAAGCCGAGGAGTAAGAGATGCGATAAAATGGCTGCCAGGAGGGGGTTGCTCTGTGCTAAGGACAGCATGCCCTCCCCAAGGGATCCAGTGTGCTCCCAGCCAGCCTCCTGGCAGCGGCCGAGACGCCTCACATTTGGGGCGCATCCCAAGGCCAAGGCGAGGCGACTTTCACAGCTTCATTTAGCTCTGCAGAAGGTCACCTCCGTCCCCACCCCCATGCGGCACGTGCGGCAAGGCATCGCCATGGCAACCTTGCTTTCCGCCCCTCTCTTGTTATTGAACAGCTGAGACACCCAGCGTCCCTGAACTTGTTACTGCACAAGTTAATGCGGTCCTCTGAGGGATTGGTTTCCTAACTATTGTTCTTTGGGCAACTGACTGCTTCCTGAAACAAAAAAAACAAAACAAAACCCTACGTGTGTGTCTCAGACGTTCTCCCCGCCACTCCTGGCCACAAATGTGAGCGAATCCGGTCATTCTCCTCCTAGGAAGCGCAACAGAATAAGCTGGAAGGAAGCAAGGATTCAAGTCCAACCGTGATTTACTGACACTAATGTTGTCACCATTTTGACGTTTGCAGCCTTCAGTTTCACTAGATATAAACCATTAATAGTTATATGACTACCTCTCTCATATATGGTTGGTGAGTGAGTAAATTGATGCAATCTTCCTGTAGGCAACTTTTTCAAGAAATAGGCTTGAACAAAATATAGCTACAAAGATACTCATAGCAGCAAATGTTTATAATAGTTGTTTTTAAATCAAGCTAAATGTAAGAAAACAGTTGGTTAAAGTAAGGAATACAATGAGATAACCACTGGGTGACGCGATTACAGGTGACTTTTTCTTGTTCTTTGACAGTGGTAAGAATTATATAAGAACAAAAACATGTTTTGTTTTATTGTTTCAACAGGTCTGATGTGGTTTATAAGCATATAAACGGATCATTACTTATAGATTATACATAAAAATGTTTTCATCAAAGGAGAGTGTGAAGGTTAAAATGGAAGAGCTCTGGGTCACTTAGATCATTTGTTATTGTTTTTGTTTTTTTCCCCCCTCAGATAGCAAAGTATTTGCATTTGGTTTGGGAAAAATTATTTTTAATTATTTATGTTCTACCAAAGAAAACAAAATGATTTTCCATTGAACACATAATAATATTAAGAAATACTCAAAATCATCTTATTGTAATAAACCATTAAGGATAAAGGCTTTCATTTTGTTCTTGTTCTCTGGCTATAGAATTTCAGTTCAAAGAGCAGTTGTTGTTTTAAAATGGAAATTCATGAGTGCTGAGAAGCCTGGCTGCAGAGCCAGATTGTGCTCAAAGTGGAATCTTTCAAAACCGCCTTATCTGAGGTCCCTGCACCCCGGCCCTGAAACAGCAGGGAGTAGCTTGTCATCTCATTTACACAGAACTGCGTGATCCTTCAGGGTAACCACTTTCTTCCCACTGTAAGAGTGAACCTGGCTGTTGTCAAGTAGCCTGTAAGAAGCCCTGCAGTATCACACTGAAGACACCTCATTTCTGAAGAGGGCTCAGGGAGAGCCCAGGCCTGACCAACAGTTGCAATTAAATCAGGACCTTTTAAGGCTTGGAAAATGCTCACTGTGAATTATTCTGAAAGAAAAAAAAAAAAATCATAGACCTGGGCAAAAATTTAGCTATGCGAATTTAGTTTTTATACTATTTTATAATAGTAAAATTTTAGAATCCACATAAATGTCAAAGAACTAAAAATAAATCTGTGTTACAGCTGGATGATAAAACTATATGCAGCCATTAAAATTGAACATATAGGAGAATATGCAGTCATGTGGGAAAGTGTTCATTGTGCCGTGTTAAGTGAAAAGAAAGGCATGTTAAAAATAGAATGTTCATCATGACCCAATTTTTATAAAATATTTTGTAATGCACGCAAGATTTAATGTGTTACATACATCACTCAAAATTTAAGCTCCAAAATTGTGGATTGCCAGTTGTATTTTTTCTTTTTATTTTTCCTTCTCTAATAAGTCCATTAATAATAAGGTATTAATGGCTAAGTGATTGTTAATAGGGCATTAATGAGAGAGGGTGTATTTTATTAGTACCCAGGAAATGGTACTACACACTCTGATGACTTTTCAGGAATGCGTTTTGCAGACACTTCAGAACATTTCCAAAGCATACATTTTATAGGCTTAGTAATTAGAGGATGATAGATTGCCTGAGTCACATTACCCACTTCACATATCCATTCATCTGGACTAAAGCGTTTACACCTTGTGTTTCTTTCCAACCTAAGTTTTAGAGCAAATGTAACACAATTTTCCTGAAGACATCTGTTTACAGCATTGAAAAGATTAAATCAAGCTAAGGATTGTCCAGGCACCTAGTAAGCACATTCTATATATTCTCAGAGTGCACGTGTGCTCTGGATTCAGGTCTGATTTTCCATAAACCCCTCATTTATAATTGGAGAAGCAGTTGCCCACATGACTCTCTAATGGAAAATCCACAAAGGCTGTCCCCTCAGGGTGGATGGCCAAGCTTTGCAGCCCAGCCTGGTAGGCCCTTTATTTCCTGGTTCCTGCTAACCTCTTCATGTCTCAACCCTGCCTTTCCCACCTCCTGTGCTCAGTCGCAGTGAGACTATCACAGTGAACACAAATGGAATCTTCCTATGTGCTGGACATTTTTTATGGGATAGGTATTACTCTAATATTATTCCTCCCATTTTACATATGGAGATGCTGAGGCATGGACACATCAATCTCATCATTCACAGTTCCTATCATTTACAGTTAATAAGGATTAAGATGTAAACCCAGGAAGCCTGGCTCTTGTTCATAACTGTTATATCTCCACCCAGGTAATATGTAGATTCCCAAATGAATTATTAGCTTCGATGACTTTCTGCTTCAACCTTTCTGTATAGGCTTCTTCTATGTAGAAGTTCTTTCCATTTAGCCAAACTCTGATTCTTCTTTCAAAACACAGATGTCATATATCTCCTCTGGAAAGTCTTCCTCAGTGCTCCCATATGTGCCTCCATTATGGTTCTTATCACCTTGCTGTAAAGCATGATTTACCTCCTGCCTCCGCCATGTGTCTTCAAAGACAAGTTTCAAATTTCTATTAGTTTTTATAACTCCAGTGCCCAGCACAGTGTCTCTGACACATAGGTGGTACTTAATCACTGATGCATGTATGAATGATTATGAACAGCACCATAGAGTTCTGCTTGCCCAAAACTATCATCTTCAACGTCACACCATAACAGCCAGTGTAACACCATTGGAGTTGGTGTTATGCAAACAAACACTGGATAGGTACCCACAAGAACAGTGCAGTGCCAGCTCCTAAAGAACAGCCTTTTTCTTGCTCGACTCTAGTTAAATGTGGACATATTCTTTGGAAGGGGAGAGAGAGTGTTAAGAAGAACTATTAAGATATTATCAGGCATTATTTTTGACAATTTGTCAGGTCCCCAAAATGGTGGGACAGAAGATGAGTAAATCTGGTATCAGGCTTAGGGCTTGGCCAAGAAAACACACCTGTTAATAGGGCACTGTACTTTGCAACTAACACAAAGAACCAGAGATGTCTACCTAGGACAGTTGATACTTCCCCTGTCTCACAAGTTTCATGAAGACAGTCTTGAAATTCACGGCATATTCATGTCAATGTTCTTAAATAGTTAATGATTATTTTTGCTCATTTTAGCCAGGGCACTAGTAGGACAGACTGAAGCAGTGGAAGACAACTGATATTTATGCACTAAAATCAATACTTAATGAATATTCAACATAAAAGCATGTTTCTGCTTGCATCATTCTTATTTACTATTTGCATCATTTTCCTGTTAATGTCTGTATCTTTTTTTGCCAAATAGTTTATTATTATTATTATTATCATCATCATTATTATTTAGTTCTGGGACACATGTGCAGAACGTGCAGGTTTGTTACATAGGTATACATGTGCCACGGTGGTTTGCTGCACCCATCAAACTGTCATCTACATTAGATATTTCTCCTAATTCTATCCCTTC